GAGAGAGAGAGAGAGAGAGAGAGAGAGAGAGAGAGAGAGAGAGAGAGAGAGAGAAACAGAGACATAAACCCTTGCAGCCCTCATGAGTTCCCAACAAAAAAGGGACATCAACATTTCGACTGCTATTCATTTTGGACTTCGCAATGTCCCGCCCTCTGTGCTCTGCTTCGTCCTCTCCAAGGTCACATCTCCAACTCACTCCTGCTGCAGCTTCGCTGCGGCAGGCCCACTTGTTATATATAATACATTATTATTTTATTTATTTTCCATGCCCAGGTACCCCGGGCGTCACACCTGGGTGTCCGGCCTCCAGACCGCCCGGTCTTGGAAATCTTCCTAGGTTTGTATCGCAAAGCTGCACAACATATCTTTTCTCCAGGTGTTTTTTAGATTTTTTTCAACGCTTTTGAAAGATCCATGTTGCCAAAATCACATATTTTTAGTTACTCAGGACAGGTCTGTGGACATCCAGTTTCCAAACCACGGACGGCAGACTGTCCAGATGGTAGCCAGGATACAGAAGGACAGTCATCCGAGCTCTGGAGAATTCTCTCGCAAACAGCGAGAACACGAGCAACCTCTGCGTCATGATGCTCCAGAATGGAAAGGAAGGACGACCGTAAGGTCATGTTTTATTCGAGAAAAGAAATAGGAAAAGGAAAACAGGGAGCAGACTTATATAGTGGTAACAACAACAGAGTAGGGGTTAGGAAGGATGAAGGGATAGCAGGGTGGAAAGTTTAAGAATCCTAGAAGAGAGAACGGGGTATTTGAAGTAGACGGACGCTGGGGAAAAGAGGAAAATGCAGAATCAAATGAAGAAGTTTATTTAAGTAGGAGGAAATGAGGAAGAATGAATGAGGAGGGGATTCATTGAAATAAGAATAGAGGAAATAGGGATTTCAGGAATAAGGTTTAGACTCTAGACTCTAGAGTCTTTAGGCAGGTGGAGGACTTAGAATGGTAAGGCAGAAATAAGTTGAGGGATAGAGACTACTAGGGAAAAAAAAAAAAAAAAAAAAAAAAAAAAACAGGGAACCCCTCCATCACTAAACCCCAGACAACACTCAATGCTCAAACCTTGGCACTGAGTAGTCTGATACATCCAGAAAACTCTGCTCTTAGAAAAAAAGCCCAAATTCAGCTTGGGCTATGCTCAACGCAATCAAGTACGATTCTTTTGCGTCTGATAGATCCAGAGAAAGCTTTTGTCTGCGACTTCCCTCAGTAGTGGAGCGGTAAACAAAACAATGAGCAAGTTTTGCGGGTCATGTGTCAAGTCGTCATCAGTATATTTCTCTATCTCTTTCCTTCCTTGGCTTGGTAAATGCTTCTCTCAGATCCTGTGCCTCTGTGTGAATGTTTTCATGGCCAGTCTTTTTGAGGTTCACCACACTAATTCTTTTCCTGAGTAACACTTCTGAATCTTCTGATCTGTCCGATAATGTGGAGCAGATGGTAAGAGTTCTGGTGAGCACAGCAATCAGGGAGGCAGCAGGAGGGGGTCAGCACAATGGATTGACTGATCTTATGGAGCGCTACTCAGACAGACGGGCAACTGCTCCGCCAGCCCCTGCCAGAGGCCTTTGTCTTGTTGGGGTCGGATATGGCAAACTGGAGAGTTAAGGTAGGCTGGAGATCTTTTATTTGTGGCTTGAAATGTCAACACCGGAAATGTAGAAGCTTTCACAACTTGCGTTATGACAATTCAGAAGGGTGAACTTTGATCATTATTCCCGGGAAGATGGTGCCCAAGGCCCAACCCTCCAAACTGACTCTCCCACTAACCAGAACACTTCCAACTTCCCCACCCGTCTCGCCCTCTGCACCTCCCTTTGCTCTTCTCTATGATGTTGCCAAGTGATGTCTATGTTCCTATCAAGCCTGAATAGCTTAGCGCCTGCGGTGCAGGCGGTGCGGGCGATACCTGCACGAGAAAAGTCAAGGATGGAAGTAACCGTGCCCAAATGAAGAATAAAGACGGAAACCAAGAAAAGGAAGCAAACGACAAACCAATCGGAGTAATGGACCAATGCTCTCTCTCTCTCTCTCTCTCTCTCTCTCTCTCTCTCTCTCTCTCTCTCTCTCTCTCTCTCTCTCTCTCTCTCTCTCTCTCTCTCTC